AAAACGTTGTACAGCACCAGGAACTGATAAACCATTCTCTAACAAATAATTATTATGCTTATTTAATTCTTCAATCAATTTATACTGTTGGTTATTAAGAGAATCAGCAGTATCCTCTGGTTTCGGTTTTGTTGACGGACGTCTACGCTTGTTACTCTTCTTGCTGTTGCTGCTGCTGGTATTGCTGTTATCATTCTCACTTTTAACACTGACAGTTTCTTCCAAGATTTCTTCAAATTTCGTGAAATCATTCAGTATTTTTGCTTTGTACATATCCTTCAGATTACAGGCGTTGGTATTTTTAGATGTTTTAAAGAAACTGCATTCAATTGGCTGATGTTTTACATAAGGGATTCGATACACCCTTAACGATGTTGTCGGATTAATACCCAACAGTTGAGGAAAGTGTACATAGATATACTTTGAAAAGAAATCAATACCCAGTTGTACAGGATTCGATGCCTCCCAATCAGCTGACCTGTCTAATGAGACACGAAGATTTTCAAATGATCTCTGGTGAAAATAAAAAAGGAAAGCAGCAGAAGACAAGGAATTTTTGAAACATATAAAAGTAATGATAATCAAGGTTACATTACATTCTTCTAGCCTACTAAAACTGAATTCCAGTCAACCATATTAGAAAAAATGCAGTGGTAGAATGCTCGCCAATCATGCATGTGGTTCAGGGTTCGATTCCCGGCCAACAAATTCCTAAACCTTACTGTAAGGTGAGTACTAAGCGGTTTGTGAGTGTCCTAGCCGATAGCTGCTACCTAAATACGATGGTATTAGATGGTTGGAGGGAATCGGCCAAAGGAAACCCTACCTGACCTAAGTTTCATGCTTCTCGACACTCACCAGCCAGCAAGGCATATCTGAAACTGCCTTCAAGGAACTCATGTCCCTCTTTCTGAGATTTGAACCCGCATCACACAGTGCTGCAGTCAGATACGTTACCACTGAGCTATTCGAGCTCATAGTTTCAACGACAGGCGGAACGGACGACGGAAAGGAAGGATACGCCTTCATCAACCTGAAACCAGTTTGGAAATCTTTCGCTGTCACTCAACATAAGGAACAAGATTCACATTTTCAACACCAATGTGAAGTCGGTCAGTCTACACGGGTACGGGTCAGAAACTTGGTTAGCGTGTAACAAAAAGGATTCCTAACAGACTGCAGACTTTCATCAACAGCTGCCACCTTCGCTGGCTCCATACTGAAGATAAAATGACCAGAAAGAATAAGCAACAAGAAACTCTGCGGTGGAACACACCAACCAAGAGTTGATCGCTCAACAAGTATGTAGGAGAAAATGGAGATGGATGGATCGGGCATACGTTGAGGAGGCCGCCAAATGACATCGCACGACAGGCCCTCGAGTGGAATCCCAATGGGAAGCGACAAATGGGTCGTCGCTGCGAGGGTGACATGGAGGAGATCGTGTGAGGAAGAGATGAAAGAATTTGGCCAGTCGTGGACCCAGCTGAAGAGGATGTCAAAAAACAGAACAACGTGGAGATGTGTTGTTGAAGCCTTGTGTTCCACTGGGAACGCAAGGGAATAATAAAAAATAAAATATTGGAGCTCACGATTGACCTCCTGTAGGAGACTGTATTGGATACTAGTTAGTAATAAGTGTCCAATCAAAAGATATGATGATCCTAGGACTTGTAGTGACCTAACGGGCTGTGCTGCACTGGATAGAACGAATGTTTTTCCACATCCTACAATGTTAGTGAAGTCCTTTGGATAGAGATTAGATTAAAAGCAGTTACCATCACAGTGTGTAAATCCTTCAGATCATATTGGAGATTTGAGAGTGGGGTCGTATTGCTGGCGATAAGGGATGTAACGGCAGTGAGGTGTTTCCCACAAATGACCAGTAAGTCGGCTATGCAAACTATGTGTGACCAGCCTCAAGCAGTCGTCTCCTGGGCTCTGGGGTCAAGCATAACTAATCCTCATTCTATATCAGGTACTCATAGAAGAAATCAACCCCCATGGTGTAAGCAGTCAGGGAGTAGTAACCACCTACATACACTTTCATCTGCTGGTATGTGTCAAAAAGCGAGAAACAGCGTTATCAAGTAACAGTTACTTGTGAATTACATTAAGTTACTGAAAAATAGTCGAATATCTTATAGTGGCGGCTAGCAACAAAATCTAGGAAACTCTTCTTGACCCATTCGTGCACCTCCCTGAATGATGGATATCCTGTTTAATATCCAATGTGAAACCCTTTGACTATAAAGTAAGAGTGCTATCCTCTCGTCTACTGAGTCAGAAAAGCCACTACTTATTTTGGCGTTATACAGGTTATTTTAACTACAGTCTTTATACTTTCATTTATTGGCAATCTGACAACCCAATGATCCTGCTTTCGCTAACTTACACCGTCTCTGGCGTAGGCGTGACATCCGGCTATCAACCAAGGGACGTGTGTACTGCTCAGCAGTTCGCTCCGTCCTTCTCTATGGCGGTGAGACGTGACCATTGAGAGCGGAAGACATGAAGAGATTGTCTGTTTTTGACCACAGATGTTTACGATCTCTTTCTCGCGTTAGGTGGTATAATAAGGTAAGTAATGTTGACGTTAGGCGTAGAGTGTTGGGCAAAGAGGGAAAATCAATCGATGAGGCTATAAAGTTACATAGATTGAGATGGTTAGGTCGCGTGCTGCGCGTGCCTAGCCATCGCCTCCCCCGACGGGCATTACTAGCTGATATAGGTGCAGGTTGGAAAAGAGTAAGTGGTGGCCAAACAAAAACATGGCCTCATCAATCCATGAAATCCCTGACAGTTAAACTGAGTCAGGTAGGGAGATGCAGACTTCCGGGTTGGGGCCCTCGGGACTCTAAGAATCAATGGCTGGAGACGATAGGCGACATGGCTCAAAATCGTTGTCAATGGCTTACGCAGATGTATTCAGTCTCAGTAATCCTTCATATTCCTTTCTACCATTACTCATTCTGTTTCACTCTTATACTTATCTAAATTCTATTGATTCTCTTCTCTCATTTTCCTGTCTACCTTTGTGTGCTATTTGGAACGTGGCAACTCGAACTGCTGCACTTCGGTGCCAAGTTCTATGTTGAATCCAGCAGCAGCAGCAGCCAATGATCCAACTTTTTGATAAAATCACCCACTCCATCTTCCGTTTAGACAGTAAACATTGTTAAGTCATTATTTTATTTTCAACCTGCTGTACCCTACTGGTCACGGCTTCCCACTAGAACCCCAGGTTAACTGCCTGAATAGGGCCAGTCACTAGTGACCATCAGATTAATTTTCAAGTATTGGATTTGTAGGGATTTTGTTTGATTGCATGGAGGATTTCATCATGAGGTGACATCAGTTAGAGAACCACTGGAAAACCTGGGAGTACTGGACAGACCTTCCGTCCTAGTTTGGGACTATTCAGCAGTACGCACCCACCACCACGGTTCGAACCCAGGACCTTCTGGTTACAAGGTGAACTCGTAGACCATTGAGCCACTCGGACCAGATCCAATGGTCCTTGAATTCTAACTTCTGCCAATTCACGACATAGCACGACCATTTCGCAATGTCTTCTTCGATGAGAGTCCCAAACTAGGACGAAACAGCCGTCCAGTACTCCTAGGTTTTCCAGTGGTTATCTAACTGATGTCACCTCATGATGAAGTCCTCCATGCAATCAAACAAAATCCCTACAAAACCAATACGTTAAATTAATCTGATGCTCACTAGCGACTGACCCTATTCAGGCAGTTAACTTGGGGTTCTAGTGGAAAGCCGTGACCAGTAGGGTACAGCAGGTTGAACATGAGGCAGTAACTCATCGAAGAAGATATTATTTTATTTTTTCTTTATTTTTTTTATTATAGCTTGATTCCACACAGTATTTTTGGCACAACTATGGAATTTTCAGCATATGATATTGGTAGCCCAAATTTAGCAGGCCAGGCATTGATATCAGGTGTGCGTCGGCTGGAGATCGAACCCTGGACCACATGCATGGTCGGCGAGCGTCCTAACCGCTGTGTCACTGACGCACACGGTCTTTTTTGTTCACTATTGTTTCGGTGTTTGTTTTATGACCGAATTGGAATGGCATAAAAGCGTACAAACGGATTTTCAAGAATTGAAATCATCATTCCGCAGTTGGACCATTCTTTTAGTTCTTCAAGACAATCTTATTTAGTACACAAACTGAGCCTTAAGAAATGATATCGTACACACAAGATCTTCATACTGCAGTATACCAGATACAATCCCGTCCAGTAGTAACAGAGTGACACATTCTTAAAATTCATCTATCCATACGAATTGGCTTCCTTAAGGTATGACGAAATCATACAACTGGAGACAAGGAATCAGAAGTACTTACTGGTCCGACTGAAGAGATCGAAACATCGGACGACCGTTTGGGGTCCAGCTCGTCAGCGGTACACCCGGTTCGACTCGGATGAGACGGCTGAATCACCAGAATTCTCGTTAGCTACTTGAGCAAACGACAGTCTCATCTTTGGATGACTGCAACCTAGTTAGCAAGTACTACCACCAACCACACACTGGTATATACCACCCATCATACAAAAATGCTTGCTTTTGTGATTGCCATTCGCACTATCAAGCACGCCGTATATATTGTGATCCGAATTATTCCGGTTACCAAGAAAAGAATTTTCACGTATAAGTCACATATTGTGTGATTAGGAGCTGATAACACGACTCAGTTGACACCCAGGTTGAAGTAGGCGGAGAGGAATTCGAGCTAGGAACCTGTCGACTGCAAATCGAGTCATAACGCCAAAATAAGATACTTCAACATTCCACAGGCCTACACTGTCCATACGGAGATGCACGAAACACCCGACGAGTCGGGCAGTAACTGAAACGCATATAATTCTTTCCCAACTACCACCTTGATTTCAAAATAATTGAATAAGAAGACCTCCAAGGAAATATTGTCAATGTAATTATATGAATGAACAAAATTAAAATATATAACTCACCACAGTTGATTCGCATAGAGCACAGATTAGCATAACTTGTTGATAGATTGACAATTCATGGAAACGTTTTTCATCTAACGGATTCGACTTGTAACCACAAACATCAAAGAAAGCTTTCGGTAATCCTAATCGATATGTTGCCTAATAGTAGTAGTAGTAACAGTAGTAGTCAGGGGTAAAAGGAAAAAATAGGAGGTTAAATTATGACAAAAACAACAACAACAACAATAAAATGAAAATATAAGGTAACTACGTACTAAATGGCTGAAGCTCAACATAGGACTTTGCACACAAGTACAGTACTTCAAGTAGCCACACTCCATGTGTACCACACAAATACTGGGAAAAAGAAAATATCCGAAAGAAATGTAATGGGCAGAAATGTTTGGGAGAAAGAATAAATACATGGGGGAACATGAGCATTGAATGGATCTGGGAGGTGATATAAAGTGAATGCAACTGTACCACCACTAGTGAGAACGGTTTTCAGCCATGTCACCAACAGTTTCTATTCTTGAGGACTCCAACCAAGCAGTCTGCAACTCTCTAAGTGGCTTACAAACCAACAGTTAAGGACTTCATAAATTGATGGATTTGACCACCCGCTAACTCTTTTCTAACCTCATCCTATGTTAGCTAACATTGCCGGACAAGGAAGGTGGCCAGTAATATAGTGACTGATATTTAGTATTCTCAAGGCTTCCATCACCACAACCTACAACTCCTTTTAGGCGTTTCCAATCAACAAACAGTGACTTTGTGCTATTTCTCAGTATTCTCCGTCTCTTCAACTTCAAACAGAACATAAGGCTCCGGCGGTACACTGCCATTTCACACCGGGGTTTTTTTCGCTGTCTTTCTTTTAGTATGGATCCACGATTACCCGCAAGTTCTTAATTCACAATTTAGAAATTATTCAGTAATCAATATTTACAACTTGTGCATGAATCCAAATGTCTTTAAAAGTGAATTTCGACTTTTGTGAAGAAACTGTCGACGAACGAGATTTCGACAATGGACTCGCGACAAGTCAGTTAAAACACAGTTGTATTATTTATTATGATTAGAACAAGAACTCGAGAAATTATCAAGCATCAAAAGATGCACCAGACAAAATCCCATAGTTTGTGCGAGACCTGGGATACTTCCCGCAGGCACGCCTACACGAAAGCAGGTGATGGTCTGCTGAGCCTTCGATTTGAAGTCTGATCAACAAGGCAGGGATCTGTTACATTCTCATAGATCCCGATGACTAAAACTGGTCCACGCGCTATTCAATCCATTCGGATTCTTGCCCATAGGTTTCGAATAAAGGTATTCCAGCTCCCCTAGGTATATCAGAATGTCCACCAACAGTACAATTGTAAGTGCTAAATATCAGCAACCACCCTTTCACTTTTGTAAGGAACATCTCCGCCATGTGAAGGCAGTGAATAGGACTTACGTGGCAAAGGCCAGAATGCATGGCCAAATGAGAATACATCGAGAGGAAGACCAAAGTCCACTAACTGTCAACTGTACCAGATTGTCTGGAGAGCAATTTACACTTCAATACTTAAACTGTAAGGCATAAGTTTATGACCCAGTGCGCCTGAGAAATTAACTCATTTCAACTTTAACTACTATCAAATTTATCAGTAGTATTTTACCGTGCAGAACTATTTTAAGTTTCAACTGAAGACAAAACTCGTGATTAAGTAAAACAAAATAAGGGGATTTAGGACCAGATGAGTAGAACCTGGTTAAATTCCTTGCATACACTTCAAAGATGATACAGAGCACTACGTTGAGAGTACATATTCTTTCTTCATTCTCTGTATTCCAAGTGGAAGCGAAGATTCTGTAGCAGTGGTATTGTATTTTTAAGGGATGAGGTAGCCCAATCGTTCCCCTTTTCCGTACGGTTTACTAATGGCTAGTAAAGTAAGTGAGATTGAAAAGTGTGCCAACCGGGAATTGAACCAAAGATCAAACTTGGAACCAATCAAATCCCTACAAATCAACACCTAGAAAAGTACTCTAGTGCTCACACCAATAACTGACTACAAGATGAAATTGTTAATATGTGTAAAATCTGGAGTATGGCAGTATGTAATTCCATATTAATTTGTTTAATAGATATATAACATAGTGAAACAGTATTATTGTTTGCTGGATGACGAGGTTTCGAACAAAATTTATCCTTCATAATCATATAAATTATAATCACACGACTTCGAAACTTGACTTATATAGTTTTCTTTGTTCTCTCCTATTTGTCGTCATTGGGGTAGTAGAATTTTTCAGATGTCCTGGTGCACATGTGTTAAATCATTCCTATTACATGTATTTGCAGTTGATCCGATAAACAAAGCTTCTGTTATCAATCTCTCCCTCCACCCTGTGACATTTCCCTAAGTTTTTTGTCCTCAGCTAGTCTGACTGACCCTATTCTACCAATGTGACCTATGTATTTGACCTGACAATCATTCCAGTAGGGTATTACATAAACAAAATTGTTTCGTTTAATTGGCTCCACAGCAGGATCGATCCTACAGCCGACAAAGCTTATTTGTAATTGAATTTGTGGGCGATTTAAATGCCACTTTTATTCCTGCCTGCCTTGTTCAGAATTCTCCGTAAGGTTACTGATATGTCCCTTCTTTGTATGGAATTACCACTGATGATTTCGAATGCCTTATTGTTGGTTGTTGTTGTCATTATCCTGCCCATGTTTGACATGCATATCGTCATTAATATTATGATGATGATGATGATCAATATCACCACCACAACTATAAATTTTATTTTTACATTTCCCTACACACTTCTTGACTAATTTATCAGGGTAATTATTAAAATAGATTTTCAAAGCTTCTCTTATATATGCCTCACTTCCTGTCGTCTTAGACTTTTTTTGTACCCTATTACCTAAACACATTTCACCAATCCTATTTCTACTGATCACTGATGAGGTGATCCGAAATCCAGATATCGCATCATCCCATCCTTTATAAGTATGAGTAGACAGACGGATTAAACCGTGAAAAAAGAACACGGGGAATGAAAACCAACAGCAACAACAACAAGTGGGACATCAGGAATACTTCAAGCTAGTATTGGAGTTTCAACGTTAAAACAAGCTGTCACATTTCAAACCATAATTGTATGTAATTTCGGCCTTATGAAAAAATTCTGTTAACAAATACAATATACGCTTCTGTGTTCTATGTTCTACAGTTACACAATTGGGTGGTTTATTGTCTTCCCAGCATGGGTATTTTGTATAAATTATTATGCAGACGCACAGAACATCGAAACTATAACGGTGATAAGTTGATAAGCTGAGTAGAATTCACTTAAAAATAAACGAAAATGGAGTTAGCAACAGTCGTCATGAGGGTAGAGATTTAATAGAGGGTGGGGGTAGAAAATAATGCAATATCTACACAATACGTGGGAATCTTGCCAAAAGAGTACGAATTAAACTTCTTCAAACTGCAGAAGCAATGGCAATTCACATATTGAATCCTGAACTCTGCATACAAAAGAAGCTTGTTCAGTCACTAAATCTACAATGGTCTTGTTCTATCTCAACACCAAATACGTAATTTTGTCTTACCTCTTTCTTCTTTGTTTGTCTGTTTCTTAATTGCATTATTTTCTACCCCCACCCTCTATTAAATCTCTACCCTCATGACGACTGTTGCTAACTCCATTTTCGTTTATTTTTAAGTGAATTCTACTCAGCTTATCAACTTAACTCTCATCCATTTTCAAGTGAATTCTACTCAGATTATTAACTTGACTAACGGTGATAATATATCGTGTACATCGCATATTGACTCTGTAAAATATAACTACTTTTTCAATATTTGAATGTTTCAACAGCCCCAGTTTGTGTTGTACTTTGGATATAGTTGCAGTAGTAATAGTAACAGTGGTAGTTTTTTTTCTATTCCTTTATGTTCCCAGTGGAACATAGGACTTCAAGCTTCTTGGGCTTTGAAGTTTCAGTAGCAACGGTATTTAATTTTTCGAGATGGGGCCTCATGCCCAACCTTCCTTCTTTGCCAGTCTTATTACTGGCTTAGTGAGGTAAAGGAGGGTGTCTGTGGCCAGGGATCGAACCCCGAACCACCTGTGTGGTTGGCAAGCATTCTACCGCTATGCCACCGACGCAGTAGTAATAATAATAATAATAACAAAGGTAATCAATAAAACATTTTATAGACCACTTGAGAACAAGACACCAATGTCAATGTTATTTTATACATAATCAATGGTATGACAAAGAAAGACCAATAAACATTACGTTGACACCTTTTATAACCTTGAACTGACTTGTCAATTTTCCTACCCCACTCTACAAATCTATTATGATTAATCACCATTGTCTCCCGTTTCACATTATTACGTTGACTGTTTTACACGTTAAAGCTACTTAGTATATCTTCGTCTAATTGTACATATCTTACACCAAATCAATAAATGTGAGCTCGATGTGGTGTTCAAGTTTGCATATCATCCATAATCTAATGTGCTAACACTAGGGGGGAACGAATATTCCTACGGTATCTGGAAAGCACTTACCATTATAATGTAAGTCGTTTAAATTATGTCGGAGGTTGTGAGGGCGAATAGGGATGTAATATAGGAAGTAGAGTGTTTCCCTCAGGTGAATAGTAAGCCAGATAGTCTGAGGAGGATATGGACACAACTTTAAAAATAATTTTAAACAGACCGTGTGTGTGATCGGCTCTAAGAAGTTGTGTACACATTGCTGTGGTCACGTGATACTAGTGGACCTTCTATTTCAACTTTCACTACGTCTTGGCAGTGTAATAACTGACCACACACACACTTCCGTAACTACTTTCATATACCTTAGACACTGAAGACTAGCAAAGAATAATTAAATAGCTTTCAATCTACTTTAATGCCTCAAAATTACTTATTTGTTTCAACTTGAATACCTGAAATAGATCTCTTTAGGTGTACCAAGCAAGGAACCACACTATTTTGTGTGTGTGTGTGGGTGGGTGGGTGTTTATGGGCAAATGATAATACGTCACTGTCCAAACCACGGTAGATGAAGCAGAGTTCAAACCCATAGTAACCCTGCGGTTGGAAGTAAAGCGCCCACTCTCATGAACCAGGGCTCCACTCGCCAACTAACTAACATGTACATATACACAGACTCATATCAAGTAACTGATAATTATTATGAAATTCAGGAAACTATCAATCGGGTAACAATATAATACTGACATCAGCTGACTACTCAAAAGTGAAATAGTAGCATAGAAAACTGAATTGGAAAATAATAACAAAGTGTATTTTTTTTAAGGATTTGATTTGTTTCAAGTTTTGTCATGGATTGATATCAATTAGAGAGACACTGAAAACCAGAGAGTACTCAACAGCTGTTTCACAATCTAGCTTGGGACTCTTCATCAGCACGCACCTATGACTTCACCCTGGCTCGTTGAACATTCAGCCATTAGGACGGAATCCTACAAATTAAATTTGCTGAAGTTGTAGTGAAAAGTTGCAATAAGCGAGGTCTCCCTGGTCGGATTCTAGGACAAGTAATCGCCCACTGATGGTGGTTCCGCTGAGATAGCGAACTGTGACAGAAGTTAGAAGTCATAAGCAGCCATCGGATTCCATCCCAGTGTATGGCTAAATGATCAACGAGTTCGCCGCCTTCTGGCTTGAAAGTTCTAGGGTCGATTCCATCCTTAGTGAAATCACGGGTGTGAACTGATGAAGAGTCCCGAACTTGGACAAAACATCTGTTCAGTACTCCCTGTGGGTTTTCAATGGTTCTCTAACTGATACGAATTTACGGCCAAACGAGAAGATAATGTAGTCGATTTTTGATTTCATAAAACACATACTCTTCAAAACAAGAATCAGGTTCACATAATATTTACACCACCGACTGAATACATAATTTTATTTATGATAAACTCAGTAAAATTTTAAATTACTAATGTGTTAGGAACTGTTGTGGTCGGCGGTTCAGTGGTACAATAGTGCTCGCCAACTCTACGTGTACAGAAGGTCTGGGTCCGATTGCCATCAGCCGATGCATTTTTCAACCTCGCGCTACTAAAGTAGCTAGTAACTACTAAGCCCAGAAAAGAGGGACAGCACAACGTGAGTGGTGAGGCTAGCAACTTCACACCCCGGTAGAAGTGAACAACACCACTGATATTCGAAAGTTTAAACACTGAGGCTTGAAGAGTTACATTATTATTCCACTTGGAACACAAAAAAAAAGCAAACAACTCAGATAACCATATTTCACTTACCCATTCAACAACACCTTTACCTTTATCCCAAAATGATCGATACCATGAATCAACTCGTGCTGACAGTCGACGTTCCCATATATCATAATCAAGTGGTGGAAGTGTAGTTGTATTCGACATCAGCTGACGGGAACGTCTTGCTGCTGAAGAAGTATAATCTATTGTTGTATTGGAGTTTGCTCCAACACTAAGATTACTATTACTATTGTTATTAGCACTATTAGTATTAGTAGTAGTAGTGGTAGTATTGCTCAACACATTGACAATTTGATTCCTCTCCTTTGGTGTTGCCAACAGATTACTCATGCATACATTGAGTACTAGACTAGCGCATGGTGCTGTACACAATCCGATTTCTAAGTCGAATAATGACAGGCTACGTGTATGCGTTGTAGTAGTAGTGGATTGAATTGAATTGACTGCGAGATTATTATGATTATTATGATTATTATTGTATATGGTTATACAATCACTTATACCCAAGAATGGATCAGCCAACCATAAGAATTGATAAGCTTCTAAAAGCTGAAAAGACAAATGAAATATATATATACATATATAGAAAAAAAATCAATAGACATACGACTGTTATTCTTAAAAACAGAAAAATCTGATAAACTGCAATCCCATTATATAAAGAAAGTTAATTAGTTATAGGAACAATTAATTACTCGTCCATATAATCTTCTAATAAAAACCCTTAGTTGTTTAATTATGCCTTTTCCAACTTTTTGAACCGTCCATCCACACATTGATAAGTGAAGAATCTAATTATATTAGATAGTTGGAAGTAATCGGCCATAGGACTCACACAAAAAACTTGGAGGATCTGGACTTCACCGATGATATATATGTCTGATTTCCCACAAACTGGAAGATATGCAAGCGAAAAGCAACAAGTTGGCGATATAAGAAGCATCAAAGATAGGACTTCCTTCAGGTGAACATAGAGAAAACAGAGGTGATGAAGATTCCTGGGCAACACCACCAACAGCAACAACAACAACAGACAACAATCAGCATAAATGGGAGGAACCTGAAAGAAACAACCTCCTTTACCTACCTGGGAAGCATCGTTTCAACTACAGGCGGACTGAACTGACGAGGATATCAAAGCAAGGATCGGGAAAGCAAAACAAGCTTTCACTACTCTCAAGTCTGTGTGGAGGTCAACAGCACCCAGCATGAAAATAAAATAAGATCCGGATTTTCAACTCGAATGTGAAGTCAGTCAGTGCTACTATACGGATCAGAGAATTGCACTGCGCGTCATGAAGAGCATCTCAAACAAACTACAGACCTTCATTAACAGTTGTCTTCGCTCAATACTACTCAAGATCAGATGGCCGGTCAGAAAAGATCAGCAACAGAGATCTCTGGGAGCGAACCAACCAAGAAGCGATTGTGAAACAAATAGGCAGGAAGAAATGAAGATGGATTGGTCATACTCCGAGGAAACCATCAAGGGACATCACTAGACAAGCCCTTGAGTGGAAACCGAAAGGGAAGCGACGAGTTGGTCGTCAGTGCAAGGGTGACTTGGAGGAGATCATGTGAAGAGGAGATGAAAACGTGTGGGCAGACTTGGAGCCAGGTGAAGACTCTAGCAGAGAACCGAACGCAATGGAGACGCACGGCTGAAGCCCTATGTTCCTCTAGGAATTAAAGGAAACAATAATAATATTATAATAATATATCAATTTCTACAGCCGACAAATGACCAACGGTTGTGTGAAGGATAAACTGCCGCTTTGGGCCACCTCAATGTGTGTTTATAAATTCACCCGCTCGTGTGGAGCTAGTTATATTGGCCGCACAAAGCGCACGCTTTCCAAACACATCTCTGAACATTAGCAAAGGGAAAGTGTAAGACAATCACTAGCTCAATTCTCGAGCATTTGGTGAACTCAGGCCACGTAGCCCCATCAGAGTCGTCGTCTTTCAAGATCATCTACAAAGTGAAGCCAAATGGTACAAAGGGCGTCAGGTTTCGGCTTTTGTATATGGCAGAGGCGTTGGCAATTCATCACTACAACCCTGAACTCTGTATACAGAAAAAGTTTGTCCAGTCTCTTATTCTACCTCTTCACTAATCGTTCCTTGTAAATAAAAAAATATTGATTTTTTCTTTTCATTTTAATTTTACTTTTAGTTTGCTTTTGCTTTAATAATTAATTCACTATTATCACTCTTTTGTATATTTTCACACCCTTTTCACAATTGTTAAATTGACACTCGAATACCTTTATTGTCACTCAATAGCAATTTTAACCCTATCAAATTTCTATCTTTGTACCATGTAATTTACAACTTTTACTTTTCACTTCTTAAGCCACTTCCGAGTAATTATATCAATTATGTCACCCCCCACCCCTATTACTCAATAATAGACTACTATACATTTTTGGTAAATATAAATACGACTGTATACACCCTCTGAAGATGATTTCGTCGATAAAGAAAATTTTCTTCGCTGAATCTGTCTTTTATTTTCTTCATGACTCAATGGGTATTTTCGGTGAGTTATAGGAACAATTAATAATTACTCGTCCATATAATCTTCTAATAAACCCTAAGTTCTTTAATTATGTCCTTTTTTCAACTTTCTGAATCATCGATCCACACATGAATAAGTGAAGAATCTGGTGATGTTAGAGAGTTGGAGGCAATCGGCCACGGGAAGCCTTGTTTGACCTAGGTTTCGTGCTAGTTGGCACTCACTACCTTGAAGGAACAACTCATGTCCCTCCTACTGAGATTCGAACCCGCGTCACCCAGTGCTACCTGCAGTCAGTCAGAGATAGACGTTACCACCACTGAGCTATTCGGGCTAGCGATTGACCTCCTGTAGGACTGTAGTGGGTATTTTGATTGGACACTAGTCAGTAACTAGTGTGACGTGTGAAGAATCTGTACAATCGCAGTTCAGTATTCCTATGAGTTCGGAGTGCAACACAGGACTTCAACAACATATCTCCATTTCATTCTCTTTCGATGGATCCACGATTCCCGCCCATAAGCTCTCATCTCCGCCTTATACGATACCCCCCCCCCGGCACCCTCGGACCCAGACTCAACTCACCATTTCCCATTTAGATTCCAATCAAACGATGCGTTGGAGCACGATGTTACCCAAAGGTGTCCATTTTCCTAGGCATATTTTGTTAAGCAACAGGTTCTTTGTTGGGTCGTTCCCAGAGTTTCTGATCTTCAGTAAGAAATGAAGGCAGCTTTTTCGTGATACGCCAAGTTTCTGACCCATACAGAAGAACTGACTTAACACCATCTAGTTTACTAGTTCACCAATTTTCTAGCTGGTACCAAGCCCAAGGAATAGTGGGGAGGTTGGGTGATTGTATATATAAAATGCTATCGTACAGTTAAGGCGGAAAATGAATTCTCCTGAAAAAGCCTCTTCACTAGACACTACCTGTATGGCTTTCCGTTAATGCCGTGATGGGAACTATTCACTTCTCTTTATTTCTGGACGCCAATGGTTTGACAAATTGACTGAAGAATTTAAAATCGAATTCGACGTGGAAATCCAACATGACTCCCTTAACCTTTGAAAACTTACTATCGTTCAGACCATGAGATATAATCCATTTGATATCATAAAATAGCAACCAAGAGACCAAACAAAGTAGCATGAAAGGTTTAGATTGTCGTTTCGCCCCTTTGGAGTCGAACTCATCATCAGCAAGGGACTTGAACTAATTCGATTCTCTGATCTAGGGGCCAAATCAGTATACTGTTGATGATTTCTCTATGTGATTGTGTTCTCTGACCTGGATGGTTTAATTGCGAAGTCTTGTCTGGGCAACATGTTCCGTGTGAAGTTCAATATGAAGTGAGCTTAATTGAATTCACCATGAATGATATAATTGTAACTCTTGACAACCTCCTTTGTCGTGATTGGTTGTCAATGTGTATTCGTATTCATCATATTTTATTGACTTTTTTTATCTTTTAGCCTACTCTTTACTACCTGACAAACTTGGTCCCACCCACCGCCGCCAGCTTACCCTACTGTTTATAAAAACAATCGCATGTGACTCTTCTTAAACAATCACCCCATGAGCTTTACAGCTTAGGATAAACCAAGTATCATTTTCCATGGTATGAGCTGCTAGTGAGTACTAACCAATCCACTCCCACACATGCACACACGGAAACACACATATATATACACTCCCGTAAACAAACAAAATTCTCATATTCTTCACATGCTCTCCTCAACTTTTTTTCTGACGTGAAGCTACCCTGTCGTCAATCGTACTGGAGTGTGAAGATGCGGCTTCACAATGACTTAAGCAATCGACTATCAGCCGATGGTCCCCGAGTTGGAATCTTGCTCCACCAACTACAGTTGGACAGTATCAACAGCAATCACAAAGACAATAAGTGTGTGGTTCATAGCCCAGTTTTAAGCAAACCACAGTATTAAAATAATCAAAACGCATTTCTGAAAATAAACGAAACCATAATCTCAACATGACACAAAACGGATCACTTATTAAAACAACTGGACTAACCTCAGGAGCATTGAATAATATCTCTTGCATTTTCGGTCCATTATTTTCAACCCACCAGCTATTCCATGTATCCAGTAATTCTTCTTCATGTCTTCGACGTTGCCATAAACTTAGTCTAGCCACTAAAATGGCAATATTCTCTTCAGTACTCAATGTACTACTGATAGCTGATGTTTGTTGGCCAGATGATGACGCTGACGTGGATGAATCGATAGTATTTGAGATTAATGAAGCGGTTATACCACCGGTACCAGAACCAGGATGTGTAACATGCTCTAATTCCTCCATGATAGCACGTATTGGTGTTAATTGACGTGAATCACCGGAGAGAAAAAGACGTCCAGAACTTCGACGACGTGTTATACCTAGAAAAAATGATAATTTATAGTTGACAGTTTAATGTCTAAACGACGAATAAGTCATGTATGCATCAATTAGAGACTACTGTTCCTCATAAACGACCTGTTACCGCCTATGGCGGGTAGACTTCTATGTTACTCTCGAAATCCCCTCATGTGGCCATGCGCTCATTGGCTCTGTCAGGTAAGTCTTATTCACCGCCTTCCCGCTGCTGAGCTGTTCCTCACAAAAGTGAAAGAACGAATTCAAACGTTTGTTGCCTACAAATTGATTGGTGGTGGACATGCCGCTATATCTAGAGAAGCTAATAAAACCCTGATTCCAAACTTATGGTGTGTGAAATGGATCCAGAATACGAACGGATCAAATGGTGTATGGAAGCCATGGGAACGTAGCAGCTCCTGACGCTGCTCCACTGGCTTGTGGATCAGGCTTCAAGTCAGAGGCCCAGGGACACAGGTGGCTTTTTAAGACAACCACCTGCTTCAGTCTGGGCGTCCAGGCAGTATTCCAGTCTTCGAACAATCTATGAAATTTTGTGTGGCACACCTCTTGGTGGTTATAATGTACCAAATTTATGTTTTTAGAATAGGACGAGATAAATGTTCAACACAACAGAACTTCCAAATTATTGTGTTTGTGGAGATTTCACTGATTTCATAATAGATATTTTCACAAATTGACACATCAATAGAGAAAAAGAGAAGACAAGACCACGCAGCACTAGACAGCTGTACCGTCATTCGTATTTACTGAGAAAGAGTCTTGAAGCAGAATGAAGCCGATGTCTAGTACCATCCCTCCCCACACCTGGTTTTCAATGTTTCTTTACGTGACGTTAGTATTCGTGATACATTTACCAAGAGATTATAAGTCTTTTAGTGTGCTTGAGTTCTCTGAGAGCTAGATGGTTTATTGGCAAACTTCTCATTGTCCTCCTAACAACATCTTCAGTGCTAACAAACAATAGTTTTAAGGACGATTGGGGACAATGAACTTTGCAATTATACCATCCAGAGTCCATCACACCTAACCACACATAGAAACATCCATCTATTATTGTAATTATTATTCCCTTGGGATCCGGAGGGAAAATAGGGCTTCGATAACACATCTTCACTTTGTTCTATTCTCTGCTGTCCTCTTCAGCTGAGTCCATAATCTCTTATTTCCTCCTCAAACGACCCCCTCCCCTATGTTACCGTCAAACCGACGACCACTTGAGCAATGGCCTGCATTGCGCACAATGTCATTAGACGGTCTCCTCAGCAGAGTTTCTTGTCGCTAATTTTTTCTGGCCAGTCGGCTATTTGATCTTCAGCATGGAGCCAGCGAAGGTGGCAACTGTTGATTAAGGTCTGTAACTTATTGGAAATGCTTTTCGTGACACGCTGGTCAAGTTTCTGACCCCTACAGAAGAACTGACTGACTGACTTTTAGTACGGACTCTTCCATGTTCTGTCGTGTAAGATGTGATTTTTGCGGCCGAGTGGATAATGCTTTGGGTTTTGAAACGAATATTGATGGACTCAAGTCTCAATAGAGACAGCATCACTTACTGGGAATGCAGATACACGCAGTTGAAGAATGCAGAATAGGATGAAATTTGCAACCTGGATTCTACTGGCGGTCAAGAGTTTCAGCTTAACTAAACATAATTAGGTATTGGCTACAGGATTTCATCATGAACTAACATCGGTTAGAGAACCATTGGAAAACCCCAACAGGGAGTACTGGACAGTCAGCTGCTTCGTTCTATTTTGGAACTCTCCAGCAGTATGCATCCGCCGGGGTTTGAACCCATGACCTTTTGGTTACAAGGCAAGCACATAGACCATTAAACCACTGGGATCCAATCTAATGGCCAGCCCATGAATTCCAACTTCTGCCAATTCATGACATAACGCGATTGGGACTAGCCAATGTCATCCGTGGTGAGTAGTTGTCCTCACACCCGACCTGCTGTCATTAGGTATTATAAGACGGTTGGAGGCAATCGACAGGAAGCCTTGGAGCTAAGTTTCGTGCTTGTTGGCATTCGTCAGCAAAGCGTATTTGCAATCTTGGAGGAATTCATGTCCCCCTGAGACTCGAACCCGTATCAGTCAGTACTTCACCCAAGGAAGTTCCCACTGGTCTATCCGGGCTCGCGAACGACCTCCTATAGGACCCTATTAGATACTCTGATCGAACAATAGGTAGTCAGTAACTAGTCCTTTGTTTGGTGCAGACTGAATTCTATCAGTCAAGTTCCTCCACGATTACAGATACGCCTTGCTGACGGACGAGTGCCAACAAGTCCAATGCTTCCTGTTGATTGCCTCCAACAATAATTTAGAGTGCACCACAGTGGCGAGCCATCTGGCATGGTGGCCACACATTGCAAACTTGACTGAGAGAATTCAGTCTACACCAAACAAAGGACAAGAGGCATGACACTAGTAACTAACTAGTGTTCAATTAAAGTATAATTAGGTATATTGAGTAAGCTAGCTAGATAGTAATGTTAACTCGTGTTAACAGACACAACAACAATTTTAGAAAAAATACGGAGACACACAGAGAGAGAAGCGAACATTAAACAGATTCACTGGTTAGAAATTTCTTAATACTACTCACCGCAATCGAGTAATTCATCTTCAGCAGTACCGAATCCAAGGGTTGACTGTATAGATGCTTTATTACGAATTTCACTAAATTAGAAAAATAATGAACAGAAAGAGAGAGAAAGAGGCAGAGGATTTAAATAAACCTCAAATAGAGTATTTACAGAAGGGACTGGGTAAGGCGGGGGCGGGAGTGATTACACAAGCAACACATAAATTACACAACTTAGTATTGTGGTGAGAGCAAGCTGCTAGCCAATTGGTAGACATTGATCTACGCTGATTGGTGGAAATTAATCTGGGCTGATTCAACAACCGATCACAGCTGACCTAGACGTGGACAAATATGATTCGCAGACAAGTGGCTCGCATTTCCGAGAAATATCGAAAACGAGAAAGCAGAAGGCTGCGTTTGTTTGCAAACAACCAATCAGAAGACCGCCTTCTTTCTGCGGGCAGAGCCTTATTAATGTACGTAAAAAACATATAAATACCTGTTGGTTTTCGTAATAAAACTGATCTGTTGCCTGGCCCTTGTCTTCTGTTGTTACATTTGGTGTCGCTGCCTACCGACAAATGGAAAGCCTATGCCCTGCAGTTTTTGATGAAGACATATGGATCTTCGGGCAGGACTTTGAGGCTTATTCGCAGTTGAGTGGCGTTCAAGATCTGTCAGCGATAAGGCTGCTACTTGGGACGCTGCTGGGAGGTCGGGAGAAAGCAGCATATGGAAGTGTGAGGCGAAATACCTACGAATGTGCGACAGGGTCAGGCAAACAGTTTCCAAAGTGGGAAGGACCATATATGGTCACGTTGAGATGGGGTAACGCAGACACAATCGCAATGGTAAACACCGCTAAACAAGTGGACATCCGCAAGCGCCGAGATTCCAGACAGCAAGATAACAGAGCAAAGCCCCAAGAACCGAGAAGACCGAGCCGAATTCAGTCCAAGCTATTTGACGGGGGGACGAGTGTGGTGAGAGCAAGCTGCTAGCCAATTGGTAGACATTGATCTACGCTGATTGGTGGAAATTAATCTGGGCTGATTCAACAACCGATCACAGCTGACCTAGACGTGGACAAATATGATTCGCAGACAAGTGGCTCGCATTTCCGAGAAATATCGAAAACGAGAAAGCAGAAGGCTGCGTTTGTTTGCAAACAACCAATCAGAAGACCGCCTTCTTTCTGCGGGCAGAGCCTTATTAATGTACGTAAAAAACATATAAATACCTGTTGGTTTTCGTAATAAAACTGATCTGTTGCCTGGCCCTTGTCTTCTGTTGTTACAGTATGACAGAACGTAATTATGACTATTTGTTCACAGTGAGCTATGGTTTTTCTGAACTCACTTACTTGGAAATGATGTTTCATGAGGCATTCGCACGAGGCTATTGTTGTAGACACTCATCACTAACTGACTGACTGACTGACTGACTGGTTTCAACGTAGAACTACTTTGAATAAATGTGCAGCAGTTTAACTTGCTACACTCCCTCCATGTAACACACAAAGCGTGAGAAGTAGGTAGAGAGATTCAAGAGAGAGATAATAAACAGAAGGGTGAGTGAGAGGAAAAAGAATAGGAATATGGGAGAACAACATAGTTTTATTGGATATTGTAAATCACAAAGAGTGAATACATCTACGCCAGCCAGTGACAACGATTTTGAGCCATGTCATAAATTGTCTCCAGCCTTCATTGGTTCTTACCATCCCGAGGAACCCAACCAGGAAGCTAGTCCACACCTACCTACGTGACTGGCTGGCTTAAACTAACTGTTGTGGATTTCATTCACTGAAGTCATGTTTTGGTTTGATCACCACTAATATTCTCCTTCCAAACTTCATCCATTCTACGTCAGCTGACATTGCCCATTGTCGAGGAAGGCGATGGCTAGGAATGCATGCATAACACATGCCCTAACCATCTCAATCGATGCAACTGCTTCACAACCTTGTCTATTAATTTCCCCCTCCCTCCTTACCTAGTACTCGACTGATGTCTAACCCCAATATTGCTCACCTTATTATACCACGTAACACGGGAGATAGAACACAGATACCTATGCTCAAAGACATCTAGTCAGCCTTTTTGTATCTGCCACTTTCAATGTTCATGCCCCACATAGCCATAAAGAAGGACGCAGCGGACTGCTGAGCAGTACACACACGCCCTTTGGTTGATAGCCAAATATCAAGTCTACTAAACCAGAGATGGCGTAAACTGGCATGTGAGAAACGAGCCTGATGTATTTGTACTGAGATTTCGTCAGCGATCAACCCACTGGCGTTGGCTGATGCTACTCGCCAAATAAGTGAAGTGGTCAACACGTTCCACCAACCACTTCACTTCCTCCCTTTCTTTAAGCTAGGAGTAGTCGATGTAATCCAGTCCTGAAGCATCATCTTACATTTGACAGGAGCGAATCGCATGCCAAACATTCGCAGATTGCTGCTCCTCAAGGTGTTCAGAAGACTGCTCTATTTTGTCAGCGTCTTCACTTAGAAGCACTATATCATGTGCATATTCTAAGTCAACGAGATTATTCCCTATGTCGCTGAAGTCATCAGTTAGGGTTAAGTCTGTTTGCACAATATCTATGAAGTTAAAGAGAAATGGGGACAGTGGGCATCCCTGATGGACACCACTGGCTGTCACCACTTCAGATGACAACTCTCCGTAATCTCTTACCTGACTGGCTGCATGAGTTCGAGCAGAGTGCCTTGGTCAGTGCGTACCACCTATATACTTCTCAGTCTGGCACAACTTCCCTACTTGGACATTGAAGTCGCCTGCTAAAACAACTATATCTGAGCGTTTTGATTTTTGCAGCAAACTAGACAGTTTCTGGTAGAAGCCATTCTTTAGTTCATCCGAACTGCAGTCGGTTGAATCGTAAGCGGAGACTACGAAAAGACAACGACGGGTAACGCCGTGCTTCCTTCTTCTAACGGACTCGTTCAGACAGACCGCACACATACGACTATCCACCGGGATCCAATCAAGAAGAGATTTTTCTGCCCCAACACTCAATGCTATCTCTACACCTGCGAGTCCTCACGAACTAGCTGACGAGTCTCCTGACACCCTTAAGGTGAATTCTGCAGATTCACTTTGTTGGCCGGGTGGAGTTAAGTGAATAAGCACACTCGGGTCTTGTATGCGTTCATCAACATCTGTAATAGCTCAATAGTGATAAGCAACAAGGAACTCGGGCAGTCCACCGAGTCACTGCTTTGCTTGATGAGCAATATCAGCTGACATATGATCAGGTTGGAAAATACTTAGGTGTAATCAAACCAAAACTTGGAATCAGACACCATGATGTTGATTTAAGCCAATTAGGGAGATGTACAAGCTGCATGTTGGGCTCCTCGGGATGCTGAGAACCAGTAGCTGGCTGATATGACTCAAAACCGTTCTCCAAGGCGCAGATGCATTCATTCTCTGTGTGACCTCTGAGATTTATTAAACCCTCATGTTTCTCCATGTCACTATTCTTCCACATCAGCTGATCACTGTTCTTTTTTCTCCCTCTTCTACACCTTTCTGTGCTACATGGAGTTTGGTAACTTGAACCTCTGTACTTTTGTGAAGATTTCTACGTCACAACAACCTCAGGCTGAGGTTAGATGGGGCAGAAAATGGACTTAAATTATTGTTCATTTCAGAGGTAAATGTCATAAATGTAAAAGTATGTGGATATATTAAAGAGGATTGTAAAAAGGGAACATAAGATGTGATCTATAAAACAAGAGTATATTGTTTCCAACCAAGCTTTACTAACCCTTCTTGTCTAGAACAGGTTAATAGCATATCCAGGTCGCTGGTAGCTCAAATGACAAACCTCATTAATTCAACACTCTGAATACAGTCAAACGGCATATCCTCTAGATGAGTTTGACTTCAAACGAACGAAAAGTCAGTCTAGAGATTAGATTTAGCTGGATCCGGCTTGCATGTATGGTCGCCCAATATTGTTGCACATTCTACCAGCTACATTCAGTGAACTATGACTGACTGACTGACTTTAGAAAAGTTTAGTGTGTTTATGAAAATGTGTATGACCAGTTCGCGGTTCACCGTTGCCGACCACCCCCGTCTCTCCCAAAAATGGGAAGGTAGGATAGCTAGCTTGGTTGTCATCTGAGAGAAACACTTGACTGATGTTGCAGATGACATAGTCCTGTTAGGGGGGATGCTGACAAAATGCAGTCTTCTGAACACCTTGAGCAGCAATCTTCGTATGTTTGGCATGCGATTCGCCCCTGTAAAATGTAAGATGCTGCTACAGGACTGGACTACGTCAACTCCTAGCTTAGTGATAGCGAGTGAAGTGATAGAACATGTTGACCACTTCACCTATTTGGGAAGTTGTATCAGCACCAACGGATTCATTGGTGACGAAATCTCAGCACGGATCAAAAAGCTCGAGCTGCTTTCGCTAACTTACACCACCTATGGCGTAGGCGTGACATTCGGCTATCAAACAAGGGACGTGTGTACTGGCCAATACGAGTTGAAGACATGAAAAGGTTGGCTGTTTTTAACCACAGATGTTTACGATCTCTTTCTCACGTTAGGTGGTACAATGAGGTAAGTAATGTTGACGTTAGGTGTAGAGTGTTGGGCAAAGAGGGAAATTCAATCGAAGAGGCTATAAAGTTACATCGATTGAGATGGTTAGGACATGTTACGTATGCCTAGTCATCGCCTTCCTCAACGGGCAATGTTAGCTGACATAGGGTCAAGCTGGAAAAGAGCTAGCGGCGGTCAAACCGAAACATGGCTTCATCACTCAATGAAATCAACAAGTCAGTTTAAGCCAGCCAGCGACGTAGGAAGATGTAGAATTCCTGGTTGGGGTCATTGGGACAGTAAACATCAATGACTGGAGACAATCGGTGATATGGCTCAAAATCGTTTTCAATGAATAGCGCAGATGCATCCACTCCTTATGACTTATAATTTCCAATGAAACTACATTGTTCGTCGTTATCACTTCTATTTTTGTTTCATATCCCTGTCTACTGTCTCTGTTTTGCATTTCTTCTACTTTCTTCTCTTGCTTTGTGTGTTACAAGGAGGGAGTGTGACGACTTGAACAGCTCCACATCGGTGCAAAGTTCTATGTTGAAAACAGACAGACAAACAGACTCCGTACACAATGTGCATGACTTACACTATGATGTTACCTGCTTTTAGTCTAACCGTTATCAAAACAACCTTTCTCGCATAATTAGGACCTGTGGGAACATCAGTTCCAACCAGTTCGTTAGGTCATTGAAATATGCCAGACTGAGCAACGTAGCAGCAGTTATTAGTAAGGCTATGACCTTTCAGTGTACATGACACCAATTTTTTTAAACACTAATTGATAAAACTTCAAAAAAATAATAATAATTAAAAGAACTTACGGGGATAACAGTTGAAGTTTTTGTTCAAATAATAATTCCAATTTTTCAGCACAACGTCCAGCACGCGATGAAATCCCATGAGTACGATAACAATTTAACAGCATTAAACGGAAATCACAGACAAACTCTCGAATACCTCGATAAGTACCATTGATGAATTTTTCATTCACTAAGAAGAAGAAGAAGTTAAAGGAAAGAAAGGGAGGCATTGACGAAGACTACCACATACTATCAAAGTATTAAAAATATAATTAAAAATCATACCTTGATGAAGAATAATAGATGTTGTCAAAGTGATTAAGACGTATGTACTTAATGTCAGGGAGTTTCAACAACACAAATCAATTGAAATAATAAAGATTTGGAGGACATGTGATTGTTTGTTGGTATTATATGCTTCCAGGTCTACATGATTCTATCGACACAGCTCCACACTGAAGTTAGAACTGGAGATAATGTCCAGAAGGATAAGGACAACCACACAATTAAGCCATCCAGAGCTCAGAGAACACTATAACACCGTAAAAACAAATCACTTGCCTAAGCAGATATAGAGTCGAACCTGTGACTTGACATAATTGTTAACAAACTCAATCCAATGTGATACTGCTCAGCCAATAGTGGGGTTAGACAGGGTTGCCCAATCTCACCCTTTCTTTTTAACTGTGAAAGACACGTGTGACGGAGACACACGTTACCACCCCCAGCATGCAGACAATATAGTCCTACTGCGCCATAACATGCAAGCAAGCTAATCAATTGACGATCAGTGTCTGTAAGTATGGTATGTCCTTTGCGCCATCTAAGTGCAAAGTATTGTTGCAAGATTGACAGGAGCCTGTATCTAAATTCACCCTCGCAGGTGAACCGCTTGAAGTTGTCAATAAGTTTGTGTGTCTAGGTAGTTGTGAAAATACTGGAGGTGTGATGGATGAGATCTGTAATCGTATAATGAAAGTCAGAACGACATACACTAACTTGGGCAATCTAGGACGTCGCAACAATGTCAGCCTAATTGTCAAAGTTCGGATTTACAATACTTCATTGCAAACAGTCTTACTCAACGCCTTTGCAACCTGGTCACTCCGAGAGCTGAGAATGTGTAGAGACTCCGAGTGTTGGATCACTTCTGTCTTCGTAGTATTGCTTGCATCTAGCGGTAATATCACGTACGAAAATCCTGACCTCCGATAGTGTGTTTGGACATAGTGGAAGTCATATTTCATCTCGGAACATCGACTTCGGTAGCGCTGAAAAGTGCTACGAATGTCATCCCAACGGCTTCCATACAGCCAGCTGTTTGCTAACCCTGTGACTTAGTGTAAAGAGTGGATGGATGGTCAGCCTATGACGTCGCACCGTAAGGTAAAGGACAGTTATGTTACGCCAAAATTTGTTGGTGCATCAATACTCCCTAGGTGGAGTCCATGAAATAATTCAAGCAGTGGCTTGAAATGTCTTCACATATGGTCAAGAATAATAATCAATGCCGAACTTGTTACAACTTCTTCCCTTTCTGAAAGTAAAATGATGTAATGAACCATCCTTTGAATGATGTTGACTAATAATGCTTACTTGCTTTCTAGATCTTGTCTTCCGTTCACTCTGTCCTTATATTGTTTTATTATTTTTTGTGTCCGGTGCATCACTTGTTGCCCATATTATAACCAGTCAATGTTTCATTTACACTAACTAGTAAGGATGAATTGTGTAACAGATATTATTAACTGACTCCTAATAACCATCATAGAGATAGTCTAAAACTGTGGCTCCGCGCAGCTATGAATTCAACACCTGCTTTTATGCAATAATCACTTACTTTTGTTGAAACACATCGGTACCATTCCTGTGCTTCTAAAATCATTGTTCCATTTTATCGAGTCAGTCTCATCCATGAATAAATAATTCACATGGGCATGTTGACGTGACATTAAAGTCTCGAGAATTTCCCAAGACAGCTTCACCTCCGGGTTCTTTTCTATCAGATTCATAGTTTTGAAATTAAGAATATTGCATAGAAGTCAAACCTGAAATAAACAGTACAAGAAACTTATTAGGTATGTGTGCAGTGTACACAGAGATAATAAAACGAAATAACTGCGACAACTATCAGACTACGTCTCCTGACTGACTAACTGACTGACTGGTTTCAACAGAGAACTTTGCACCGATGTGCAGCAGTTCGAGTCGCCACACTTAACTCAGCACACAAAGTCCAGGAAGGAAGTAAAAAGAAAAGCAAAATACGGACACCAAACAGAGATTTGAGGCAAAAAGAATAGTAGTATCGAAGAAAAATGTAGTTTTATTGGGTATTATAAGTCACAAGGAGTGGATGCATCTGCGCCATTCATTGAGAACGGTTTTGAGCCATATCACCAATTGTCTCCAACTACTGGTTCTTACCGTCCCAAAGACCCCAACGAGGAGGTCAGTCCACACCTCCCTACGTGGCTGACTGGCTTAAACTAACTGCTGTGCATTTCATTGACTGATGAAGCCATGTTTTGGTTTCACCACCAGTGGCTCTTTTCCAGCCTGACCCTATGTCAGCTAACATTGCCTATCCGTCAAGGAAGGCGATGGCTAAGCATACGTAACACATGTCTTAACCATCTCAGTCGATGTAACTTCACAACGTCGTCTATTGATTTACCTAGCACTCGACGCCCAACCTCAATATTGCCCACCCTATTAAACCACCTCTACGGGAGATAAGTAGAATGCAGAAACCTATGATGAAAGACAGCTAGTCGGCATTTTCATGTCTTCCACATTCTCAATGGCCATACCCCACACACAGCCATAAAGGAGGACGGAGTGGACTGCCGAGCAGTACACCCGCCCTTCGGTCGACAGCCAACCGGATATCACGTTTACGCCAGAGATGGCATAAACTGGTATATGCAAAACTAGCCCTCTGTATCTGTACTGAGATTTCATCAAAGATAAACCCGTTGGCGCTAGCTGATGCAACTTCCCAAATAAGTCAAGTGGTCAACACGCTCCATCAACCACTTCACTCCCTATTTGTAAGCTAGGAGTCAATGTCTCCTAAGAAAGAGGTTAAGATTTCTCCATCTATTTGTATCCCAATTCGAACATACAATTTCGAAGCTTTTCTACGCTTTGAACTTTAAGAAGTGGTTGTGTTATTTTTACGGGGTGGAGTTGATAACCTGACACCCGATCTTCCCTTCTTCCCAGACTTACTCCTAGCCAGAAAACTAGGTGAGGTTGAGGAGTGCGTCGGCCAGGAATAGAACCCGGGCCATTTGAGTGAGTGACTGGCGAGCATTTAACTATTGAACCACTGACGCACTTAAGATATTAAGATAGACTATATCATTACTGAACTATTGCCGTGTGGTGACAATACAAACTTCACATAATAACACCTCAAACCTAGTTGTTCAACATCATAGCACTATAAAATACATAAAATTCACAAGAGATATACACTCTAAACTGAAAAGGAACAAAGAAACGAATGGATACGAATGTGTTGCAGATTTTAGGGTAACTTGACAGACAGACTGATTATCTTCAATACGTGACCAAACAACAATGGCGGTAGTTGTGTAAAGGAGAATAACAGTTGGGAGTGATGAGAATCCACAGAACTTTAAAGATAAATAGGGTATGTGCCACTGAGAATTACTTTGAATCCTTGCAACAAGTCTGCAACCTCTGAGGCTAAACACCCCGAAAACTCCAGTTAAGTAATGACTTCATAGACCAATGTCATGTTTTCGCCTCACCACTCCTAAATCTTTTCCAAACTCATCATACTTCAATCAATACTACCAACCACAGAAAGTGGTAGTTTGATATGTGTAAACATTCTTCATGGCACTTCATAAACAATCACAGACGGTAGGTCCATTAAGGTTCAAAACAGCTACCCACCAGCTGAAAACCAGCTATTTAGATAAAAAATTATAGTGATTACAGTTCGTTTAGTTAGCCTGAAGAATATATCACTACTAAACCTTCTTTTCCAACCCAATCCTAAGTCAGTTAATATTATTTATCGAAGACAGTGGCTCGGTATAAGCATCACACGTTTCAAACACCTTAATCAATGAAGATACACAAACTCATCAATTGACTTGCCCTTCTTACCTGACACTAATTATAATCTGAAAATTACCCACCATGTGGCTTCAATAAACAAAGATATGTATGATCAAAAATCTCCACTCTTTAAGTCTTCAACTTTCTGTAGCTTATCTTATAGTCATGAAGTAGAACAGAGCAACCTTCTGCTTAGTACCCATACCTGGATACCTTGTATGCATAAGAGAAAAAGCAAGCCGGCAAATACCAAAAGAGCCATTGGTATTTGTGTTGACACTTACTGAGGAACCTATCCACCAAGAATGATGCAGATTGCCAAATACACCACCACACTGGTGAATAATTATCGATTTTGGCCTCCAAAGCCTCAGGATGGTCGGGGGTGGGTGCCTTGCACTGCGGGTTGGCCACCCCTCCACACACCTCTTGAAATGCTCCCATATGACCGGGCGTCTTACATAGCCTCTCCTGAGGAAGTCCTACTCACTGCCTTCACGTGGCAGAGGTGTTTTCACCAAAGTGAGAGGGCGAAAGCGGATGCCCGGCGCTCTTCACCGGGTTGACTGTCCATTGGAGGACAGTCTAGGGGAGATGGCTAAACCCTGATTCCAAACCTCCAACGACTGGCGTATGAAGCTCACCGGCAGACGTATGAACAAAGGGCTTGTTGGATGTCCTGGATGTCTGGCCCCATTCAAAAAGGCGTATGAACCGAACTCCGGTCACCGGCTGACAATGGATAGTGGACTCCCTACTGCCTTGTAGGTCACACTTGGTTGTGTAAAGGCTAGAGCTGCACTCTCAAACAAAAGGCCGAGCGATTCTGGGGACATCACTCGTACCAAATTCCCATGAAACTTCATGAACTCTCTTACAAACGACTCTCACCATGCTACGGCGTTCCCGGTAAGCGACGCGCCCTGTGCTCACCCGGTGGCCAGTGTGAAAAGTAAGCCTGGGCAGCGATGATTCGAGATGTTCATGAAGCCGGCTCATCCTCCCGTAGGAGATAGCCGAAGTAAAGAAAGAAGAATGACCTGCATTATTGTGTCCAAAGTTTGAGGTTCAATAATGACTCCTAGACTAAGTCGTGCTCGAAAGAAACAAACCCGGAGAAGCCAGACAGGCCTTAGGCTAGGAGGAGAAAAGATAAATCATATCTTTTCTTGTGTTGTGGTATAATGTGTAAGCAATATTGAGGTCAGGCGTAGAATGCTAGGTAAGGTAAGAAGTCACCTATGAGGTTGTGAAGATACACCGGATGAGATAGCTTGGATGCGTGCTGCGCATGCCGAGCCAATATTTTCGGAATTATTTGATATAGGATTAGGTTAGGAATGAGTCAGAAATAGTCAAATCAAAACTTGGGATCGATCCATGAAGCATCTGACAGCTGGTTTGGTCTAACCACGCAGGGAGTTGTAAACTTTCCGGTTGGGAACCTTGGAGTGCTAAGAACCAATGACTTTCCTTTCTCCACCTTTGTGTGCTAAATGAGGTGTGGCAACACTTCTGCACAAAGTTCTACGTTGACACACAGTCGTTCAATTAGTCTGCATTACTGCAGTAGTTCTACCACACATGTTGGCAGACTTCACTAGAACTTTAGGTACAAAAACAATTGATTCTCAGATGATATTCATAGGATGAGACAATATGTAAGTAAACCAAGGAGATTATAATGCCTCAAAAACATGCTTTAAAAATATCAGAGAACATTACAAAGTCAATAACATAGAACCCAGTTACCCAGAAGAGATTTTCCATGTATCAAGCATTGAGTCATCTTAACATATTATTAAGCATATCTATAAGTTTTGTTCAAATTTTCGCCTGTAAATGTTATTCAAGAAATGGGGAGTAATGAGAATAAGAGTAAACTAAATTTTCCACATTTTGAATGCAAGCATTATGTGGATTAGTTTTCAACAATCGATTCCAATGACTTTCTTCTACAACTAACACAGCGATTAAGTCATCATTCATGTTTTAAAACAAATTCAGAGAAAATGCACTTATATAAATACCTACCATGATCATAATACTAACTTAGCTATAAGTATTCATATATGCGACTTAATACAAGATGGTATCATATATGCGGTCAATGGAAAAAATGAATGATAAAATAAATGAACTGAAGACTAGATAACCGACTAGAAAAGATAAGCTGCAATGAACTATGGCTGCCGGCGAGCCAGCCAACAGCCTACTGTCCAACAAATATGTAGACAGAAATACATATGGACCTGATATACACTGAGGAGACCATTGAGTAACATCATGCGCTAAGCGCTCAAGTGGAAAACGAATGGGAAACGATAAGTACGGCGTCTGACGGTGACATGGAAATCATGAAGTCAGCTCCAAAATACAACAAAGAAGAGAGCATTATATTCCAGTGGGAACGCGGAAGGGGAATAGAAGGGAAAATACAAATTAGGAGTAATTAATGCATGAAAAGCAAGTGCATTTCATAAATCAAAATGTAAAATACGTGACCTTCGCCCTGTCCTCAGATATATCCAAATATCAAGAAAACTCATTAACCAAATGCCTCATAAGACAACAACTGATGGAAACGACAAGTGACAAGTCTTGGACTGCACAACGCCTGCTTTTCAATGCTAAAAATCACAAAACGTAAAAATCCTTTTGGGTCCTGCTATATGACAGTTTGGATAATGCAGAGAGGATAAATCTGAACAGTTTCAGAACGCTATCATATTGAATGTACATTAGTTTCATCCTGGACACTCGATCAACTATTCGAACGAACGCACGACTTGTGGTTAATAATCATTAAACCTTCTACACAGACGGCATCTATGACAGTTTGTGGGAGTAAACGCCCGGCCATAAACAAAACCTGGGGCTTTCCTACAAGTTGTTCACCTTAAACTGCAACTTT